TGTGTTTTGACGTGAAAGCTCGCCTAACGAAGCAATACTCTCATTTACAGAAGTAACCGTAATTAAATTAGGATAGAATCAACACATAAAGCTACTGTTCACTATTACACCTGTCGAGTAGAACTTGATTCTTCATTATTTATCACATCATTTTGTGGGCCCGTGTCGTCATCCTGAAGAAAATTAATAGTGTAAAGTGCATATTTCATCGATACAAGGAAATTGTTCTACCGTGTTTGGTTTGAGAGAAGCCGTCGAGTCAGTAAGATCTTCAGCCCCATGCCATAATAATCGGAATTGCCCTTTCATCCAAGCCATTATGCATATGGGGAATAGTGTACATGGTACCAAATAGATTAGAGCTGGCTGAGCCATGTTCATAATTGCAAGAGCACAGAACGTCATTATCAAGCCTAGCCCATATCCTGCAATTAGAAAACAGTTGTTTTTGAACGACACGAATAGTTAGCAACAAGAATGTGAATCATGAATACAAACCGATCGAGCATAGAATTCCATAAGAGATGCGAACGCGTTCTGAGAAACCATTCATGGTAAAGCAGTGCGTAACCAGGTAACCTTGAAAGTTCTTGATACTATTCACAACTTTGTAACATCATGATATGGCGATAACTTAATATAATCTATCCTTATTAAGGCCTAGTAGTTAGCGCTATTTATTGAAGGGGTGTTGAAGGCAATTAGAAGCATTTGGACAATCACTCTCACTGATACATCGCGTAAGTGTTTCTATGCCTAATCACATTCACTATTAGTCATGCTGGAACAAACTAGTTTTCTATTCTTGTGAGCTTGTGCCTTATGATAGAGCCGCAGAGTACAGAGACAATCTAACCAAGACGACCCTGCATCGCGCTGGCTTGATTAGCGGAACCGTTCCAACAAATTGCCAGTCACTACAACCTTTCCCTGCCAGCTTATGTAATAAGTTCATCGCATAAAATGCAAACATATAATGTGAGGATGTATTCCATGTCTTGATATTTTCAAGACTCTATACTGAGAAAAATAACTAGTAGTTGAAAAAGTAAGCATACTGAACATATGCATCATAGGTCCAGAACTCAATACGCCTGTCTGTAAAAAACCAACCTGGTATAATAATGTCTCCTAGCCCAAGAATGGTCATCTGGAAGCCTTTTTCAATATCTAAGTCAATACATGCAGCCATTGGATCGAAATGTGGCACTTGCATCAGCATTGGGAACTGAAGAAAGGCGATCAAAACCAATAGTTCTTCTAGAAATAAATCACTTACCTTTTCAGGTAAAGCCGCATCAATAGGAGGCATAGGATATCCATCAGTCCCGCTGCTTGAGCAATCGATCCCCGTTGCCACTTCTAACATCACAGAGCAGCCATTACGTGTGATAAATGGCGTTACAAATACCATTACCGCATCGTAAATGAACATACATAGCATAAGAGCTGAGATCCACTGAAGAATGAGAGCATTTTACAGTTCGAAAGGTTGTTGGGCAGAACGATGCAGTTTCTTTTGAATACCTATTCTTTTGAAGGAGTCAAAATAGTACCTTACCTTCACGCTTGGCAATCGAAGAGACTTTAGAATGTGAAGGCATAGTGTAACATTGATGAAATCCAAGAGGATAAATGCATAAGGCGTCCGTCGATAAACAAACCATACGACACAAATGCCGAATGATAAGGTAAACACCATCAACTGGATGAAACTAGGTCTTCCTTCCGGGATACAACCTGAATACTCAGCTTCGAATTGCTAAAAAATTACTTAGTTTTTTCTCCTCAAATTTCCGAAACGAAGGCAGAGACGTCGGCCACTTTGCGAGGCCCCCTTATTGTTAGTTCAATACCTCGAAGCAAAAAATCGGGAGGGCTGTCCAATACTGCTAAGTTGAGCAGACTGATTGCCATTGAGGAAAATTGCAAATATTACTTACGATGTTGAGGTATCCACGTGCACCGCTTGGCAGTACACCATTCCCAGAAAGAAATATTTGAGAGCACTGCCATGATGCAAGCGTAGACACTTATCGATCCGAATAACACAAGTGTTACGTTGAAAAATGTAACTAAAATCGATATCGGTGAGGGAGAGTTACAGTAAAAGTTGAATTGAGAATTCAGTACCTAAAACAGGACGGAAAAAGAATCCAATCATAAGAACTCCAACAACAATAATCATCAAGACAATAATAGCGAGAAAATTTGAGTGTCTTGCAAGGCATCTACAGCGACTTTCGAAGGAACTATTCGAATCCGACTGAGAAGTGTAGCCTGCACTTGAAGATGCATTAACGTGCAACTTATCCTTTCCTGCTCTGAAATCATTACCATGCCATACCTCCTCGATTAATTTTACTAACTCCACAATTAATATGGCGTACCTGTGCCGGAAGAACGCCCATACACCCCCTCCCATTACACATCCGACAGCCAAGAGCCATATAATGACCATTGAAAGGTCTATTGGACCTTCCAGTGGTCTGTGGAATCTCAGCTGCAGCTGAGAAATGTTCTTGTCTTTGGCGAGACCCTATAAAATTTTTCATTTGAATACGAAAGAGAATTCGGCAACCGGAAAAGCCAATCTTACCAAAATTTCTTCCTGA